AAGGTGGTTGCACTGATGAGGCAGGCATGTGATCGGAAAAGTACTGGCAGAGCTGGCAGTACGATGGAAAGCCAGGAGCGGATTATGACAACGTGTGTCAAAATGTCAACTTGTTTTTAAACTTCTCCCTGAGTCACACCAGTGTAACTCCTCGACTTGTATGATCAGCATGTAAGACATTTGAACTAGTAGGAAAATAAAATTATATGCAGGTAAAATGATCAATAAAAAAATCTATATTTTGTAATCCTACATTTTTTAATAAAACCTGATCCGTCTCAACTGTTGGATAGGTGGAAGCACACCTGAAGGATAAGTATTGTGCAGAAGAAAAGATTACCGCCTCTCTATTTCTGTCCTGCAAAGCTCTTTAGCAGTCTTACCCTCGTGTGTCTGAGAAAGTGTGTGCATGCGTGATCGCTTGTTTGTGTGTTTAATGAGTTTGTGCTTGTGTGTACCTGAGAAACTTGTGCAAGTGGACATACTCAACAGTGTGCGTTCAACTGTCCTTCCCCTGAGCAGCCCTTCCTTGCATTCCTGATTGTGCGGATCTCTTCCTGTGTGGACTTATTTTTCCTCCAGCAGGAGTGAGGAAAGCAATCGAAACCCAAGGAAAACATTAAGGATTAATAGAGGCACTAAAGGAATAGTGGTCAAGATGTTGATCACCATGCTAACAGCCATGTATATGATGGTCAGAGTCGTAGAATCGGTAAGATGATTAGAATTATAGATGGAATAGAAATAAGAGTAGTAATAAATAGTCGATTATTATTTCTGGAAATTAGATTTAACATGTATTAATATTCTATGTACTTAAACATCTAAAAATATTCTAATATTTCTAATGCAAGACAAGATCTCTGTGTTTTTGCTGCAACCAAAACATGTTTTTTTCATCCAGCAGGTTGTCAGTGTCAAATATAAATAAGGTTTATATAAACAGCATCAAAATGTGATTAGGGTGATGTTAAAACAGGTGTTCAATGTCAGATTATAACCAGGTATATATCGACCCGTCAAAATTAAATGATTGTGATGTAAGACAAAACTTTTAATAAGCAGGATTCCTCACTGCTTATTATGTAACATCTAATGCTCATGCATTAAAAAAATGTTTTTCAGTTCAACATTTAATGTTTTTTTTTGTTTATCTGATAAGTAAACCTGAGAGATGTTGGAGAAATATTAAAGAAACAGTACGAGAGCCTAGATTTGACAGACAAGGTTGCTTATGTTTAACTCTTTTAACCACATGTTGGCACCCTTACCATGACCTCCTTTTCATTTTCAGATAGGGGTGCGGTTTGCACGGCAACAAGATCCTTTGCCTTATATGGTGTCCCAGCCTTTACCTTGGCAGGTTCACTCAGTGTCACACAGTCGGAGGAGCAGCAAAGCAGAAGAGGTTAGTTGTAAATTGTAAATTTGTGTCTCAGTATAGTTGCTGTCACACACATCATCATGCTGATGCACCAGGGCTATGGATTCCTTACAGCCAATGCAACGCACCTTCATTCTGCACATGACTGAGTCATCCACTGTAGCCATATACCACATTACTCATAAATTTGCTTTTTTAATCTTCTGTTATCTGATGGAGAGTCATAGTATGTGAATTTCAGCTGTCAAGCTTGACACAGCATGTGAGCATATTAGCTTGGTCACAAATTCTGTGCTGTACTTTGCTTGTAGTGTCTCAGAAGATGACAGCAGAGGAATATGATTTACAAGTTTTGATGCCTCTGTACTCAAACAGCACCCGCCAAGTAATATAATAAAATAGACTTGATTTTTGCATCAGACTCAGGTAAACACTGACCTTTTGGCCCTCATTGGATTAATATCAGGGAATCAATAAATCCTTGCACAGAGGTTGACAACTTGGTGGTTGTTAGGTTATTCCTCAGGCTTGCACTATGGATTTCTGAATCAAGAAGCACACTCAGTCCAGTCCAAAGTGCACACCTCTGATGTCCTACAGATTTTTTTTGTGCCTTTTTCTTTGCTTGAGGTAACTGTTTTAAAGGTTACTTGTATCGTAGACTATTATAAAGATGCAGCTCGCAAATAAAAAGACAAACTGAGGCAAAGAGCTGGACTATGGCAGGAAGACTTTGGTGCTTAATTGAGGGCATAGGTGTTAAGATGAGAAAGCGAAAGAAACCATCAACCAACAACAAAAACCCTATGAAGCAAGCAGGGAGAAATCAACACAGATGGAGGTGAAGAAAGACATTTTGTGTCAGCTTAACGTCTCTGGTAAAAGGAGAGAGTAGACTGCATTGATGAGGTCATGGAGCCGGTGTGCGGGACTGAACGCAGGCACACAGCCAAACTGACAGGTAAGCAGGCTAAACTGGTACAGTCCTAGCCTCTTTGCCGCTGCTCTGCTTGAGCTGTAATCCCAATCAAGGGGATTTGTGTTTGAGGTCAATACCTTAACTGTAGATAGAAAGGACACACACACACACAGGTGCAGTCACACATGTACATTGCACATTCATTCCTTAAGGACTGCACATTTTGTACAGTTGAGTTGAAGAATTTCTCACCTGTATGATTATGTGTCTGATTTTGTACTCTTGTGGTATGTGAATAATGTTTGAGCAAAGTCCCAGATAAGATTGTAACGTTGATAATTATCATACCTGACCCGTATCTCATTTGTACAACTGACTTCCTCCCCTTTTTTTCTCTCTGTGCGTCAGTGACTTGTCTTCTAACGCAAGTGTTATGTTTCTTTTACAGTTTGATGGGTTCAGGAGGAACAGCATAGGGGTGTATAGAAAGAGTAAGTAAAAGTATAAATGAATTTAAATGCAGGCTATTTTTCTGCCAGCATAATTGTCATATTGAAGTTACCATGAGGGTTTGATTTAAGTCAAGTGTCAAATCCAAATCAAACTTTAATCAAAAAAATAGCCCGCTTGAATCAAAGCTAATATGTACACCATGTGTTTAAACTCAATCATTGCTACAGACTATGTCTCCATGGCTATTGCCTCTGCCTCTCTGGCTATACCATGTGTCCTGTCGTGCTCAGACTCCAATGCCAGCAATGGGACGTGCACCGTGCCTGCTGTTCCCCCACTCAGCCCTGTTGAAGTTGAGAAGGCCGCCGCCACCATCCAGACCCATTTCAGGAAGTTCCAACAGAAGAAACACAAGAACGGCAAGTAGATGGACAAAGAAGGATGGTGAGAGGCGACAGGAAGCGCGTATGTGTATTCACCAAAGGATGGATGAACTTTGCGATGACAAACACAAATGCATATGTACACTCATATGCAAATGTATATACATTCAAACTGTATGATAAACACTAAGTAGAGCTCTGGATTAGTGACACTGTATAGATAATAGCATACAGTAATAGAGAACACCTCAAATAGCTACTTGTCATACCCTATTTAAAATGTTATGTGAATAATATATCTGAATGTGCTGTACATCTGAATGTATGTGTGAGTGACTGTGAATATGCTGTATATAAAGTACATAAATATGGGGGAAAACAATAAAATAATTTGTCAACATTGTGGATCTTACAATTTTACCAAAATATCTCAATAAACTCCTCTGTCTCCTGTTCTGTGTCGATTTTCATTGAAGTATGATGCCCTCTAGTGTTTTGATCAGGTTCTGAATCATATTATGGATGAACTACATTTTCAGGTGGTTCATCCATAATGACTCAAAACCCCCCATAAAGTTACAAGACAGACAATATAATGAAACCATGTAATAATCAAAACAAAAATAACTGTCTGTCCACTCATTCAGAACAGTGTTTGTCAATCAAGAAATTGTGTTGAAGTAGAAACTGCTGGAATGAAGTGAAAATGACCTGCAAGAAACCTTTGAAGCTAAATGAAGAAAAGAATCATAATAATAATAAGCAGAGTTAATAATAATGTATTTAATTATATTAATTATTATTAATTTAATTATTTTACACATTCATGTTTGTATGTTTTGTGTGTGCTCATTCATATCAGTAATTCATAACGTCTTATTTAATTAATTTAACGCTTAAGGTATGTGGCTGTAAACTGGAAGACAAATTATAGATGACCTATATATATGAAGTTATGTGTATGTGAATGTTGATTTAAGCTCACAAGTAGCTATTTAAAATTGTTGCATTGCATTGTTTGATAGTTGTATTATTATTAAACAGGTGTTATGAAGGGCTGAATTCACAGTGAAAGGGTTTAGCTGAGGTTGTTTGTGTGCTAGATTTGATGATTTGACATTTATGTACATTTATGATTAAAGTCCATAGACGTCAAAGAGTGGGTCCTCACTCCAGAACCTTATTACTCTGAAATTCACAGACATCGCTGTTAAATTTTTTCATTTGACTACTTTCTGCCAGGCTATAAAATCTGTTCATAGTGAAATCTGTGGATCTTAAAAAGCAGTTGGGTGCCAAAGTGACAAATGATCCAAACTCTTTCACTAACAAGTGAAACATGTTCTGATTACAGTAAAAACAGAGTGATACAGAAAGCCCTTTATCTCAAATGCTACATGGTTGTGAAAAAATGAATAATATCATCACAGTTCATAAAAAGATAGCTTTATTGCACAAGGTGTTGAGTACTCTTTTTCTGATTTTGTTTGTTTTCATAGAAAAGAAAATGTAGAGTTAAACACAAGCAATTGCAAATTGAAGCAACGTTTCCCCATAAAAGTTTAAGGAACAACCTCTGCATTTTTAAAATGTTTTAATTAACCCCCTTTTAAATTGTTCAATTCACCATTTCCCTTTTTCTTTTATAACCAGCAAAAATTTTCAGAACATGCAATGCTGCTGTCCTCCCCCCAAAAAGTGGAATAATAAAAAAAGGCAAACTCTAAATCAAGCAACCTGTGACAAAGTAAAAAAAAGAAACAAAAAATATAAAAGGAGACAATGCAACCAAATGTCCTGTAAAAGAAGAAAATTAATATTGTTAACTATGCATGGTCCACTCTTGACATGTTTCAACTGGTCCATAAATGAAGATAAAGAAGTGTCTGTATAATTCTATAGTTTTTCATTAAGTCCTCTTCTGTTTCATTACAATAACTTCTGTTCAAAGTTTACATTGTGCCCTGGTATCTAGTGAAGATGTCGAAAATAGTACTCATTTATACAAAACACTTTCCTATGTACACAAGTCTTCTATTGTGGAGTAGAAATTATGTTGTACAGGTGGGCAAGGGGTAAAGTGAGAGGGGAAGATCTGATTGGTTGAGCTGATGTGGAAAAGGTTGGGTAAGTAGCACAAGTGAAGTTGGCTTTATAAACACAGACTGAGTCAGCTTGAAAAGTATGTTGTATTTTAAGGAAAAATCCATCCTAAATCACTCATAAGCCATTTAAACGTCTCGGCAAATGTTAAGCTGCTGCCAAGAAAGCCAATCACGTCCAATGACAAAAAAAAAAGAGCCGTACAGTAAAGTACCTTAAAAACAACTAATCCTTTTTGCCTTATAATATATTAACAGGTTATCATTTCAGATGAATATTTGTTTTTACATTACACCAAAAAAGGATCAATATCTGGAAATATTTAAAATGCTTGAAATTTTTTGATTGAAGGCCTGAATAACTCACAAAAGTACTTCTGCAGTACTCTGTACTTCACAATTTGAATACTGTTTGTAATTCCTGGATTACATTATAGGAATAGTTTGCTATTTTGTGAAATGCAAGTATTTGCTATATTGCAAAGAGATGCAGAGGAAACACAACAAAGGAACACTGTTGAAGGCAACAAAATCCACCTACCAGCTTCACAAAAAGCTCACTAATTAACACATTATATCTCGTTAGTTTAATCCGTACAAAAAAGGAAGTGTAAAAATGACAAGTCTCCAATAGTTGCCTAGCAACCTTACAATAAGGACAAGACTTTAGGAGTTTACTCCTGGCCGGGAAATAGACTGGCACAAAACGTCTGTAAAACCACAACTTTTTTTTACATTTAGTTTTTTGTGCAGAATGTACATTTTTTTAAGGGACAGATATGAGAGTGGCATCGATCTTCATATCTAACTCTCATATTTCCCAAAATGTTGAACTATTGTTTTAAATATTACATGTACCTCATATTCACAGAAGAGGTGGATTTTTCCTTAAAGGTATACATTACATATACTTGGAGCAAACTGACAGTAGATCAGTGTTTTACAGTAGAGGCAACTTCACTGAAGAACTTGGGAAAGCAGGTTGGAAAGGAGTTTATTTCATCACTCCATCCAATATCCATACAACTGGAGTAAGGAAACCTCTGTTTTTGGTTGCTAAAACAGGCCTGCCCCATTCCCAAACTCTTGTTTTTTCTGAAAACAAGTATTTGCACAACTTAAAACATAAAGGCCATTTTAACATTAACAATGTAGTGCAAAATTAATTTCTATCCTGTCTAAGTTTTAAAATAAAAGGGAGCATGAATACATTTATGAGCAGTTATAACTTTTACTGTGTGGTATGTTTATTGGCCTGAAGTCCCAGAGTTTGGGGAGGACTCGCTATGACACAGATAAGAAACAGAAATACTTGTTGATCTGTTTGTATTCATTAATTATAGTCAGGTAATGGCATTGAGTTTGTGAACACACCTTTGGAAGGTACAATACAACATATTACAATAGGCTCACTTACTGTATAGGCTGCCCTTGTTTTACTGTTTTCTTTTTCAACACCACACTTTCTGCACTGAGCCATAGACCACAGTTAACCAGTGACACAATCTCACACTATAATTTGACTTTACTGTGCTTGTCCTTTCAGCTGCTACCTGCTACACAGGCGTTTGCAGCTGGAACATTTACAAAATCACAAGGGGGTCATTGTATCATTCTTCAGACCTCAGTTTGTCACCATTTACTTTCTCTCATACCACTTTCTTTCTCTCCAAGATCTCCCGTCCATGGTTGTGCTACCCGTTTAAGCTTCCCTCTTCTTTTTTCTTCATTCCTTCTTGCAGGTTTTCACTCTGAGCGATTGTCTTGTGATCTTTTATATATATTTTCAATTAGAACGGCTTTTATATTTCTCTGCTTTTTTTCAATATTCATATATTTGCTATATATTTGAATAGAAATATATATGTACATACTTTTGAAAACAAACATATATCATATCTTTTTCTTTTTTCTATTGCGAGAGCCCTGATGTTACGTTTTACCATTGCAAAACATTTAGAGCAACTCTTTTTTTGGAACGATCTTTGTTATGGGATTAAGCTTTGGGAGAAGAAAGGGGGGGGGAATAAACTTTAAGTTAACAGATACAGTACCATGCATAAAGCTAAAATAAATTTTAGTGAGGCTGAGGGACTTGAAAACACATCTTTTAGTTTTGAAGACCACTTATTTCTGAAGAAAAATTGTATCTCTCTCCTATGTAACCCCTTCCCCGTTTCCCTAACACAACTGCAAATGCTATCAGCACTTGATCTCTCTGTCTATAATCTCAAAGTCATTGTCTGTTCATAAATTCAAGATCATTTCATACAAATATGATTTTTCTCGTATACATCTCAATAGATTTGCTGTATGTTTGCAACTTGTCTCTCCATTCAAGTTGTCACTGAACGTCAAATAGCATTTCTGTCTGTCTGTGCATATAAGACCTCTTTTTCTCAGCCTGTCTGTCTTTTTAACTAGCCAATATGCTAGCAGTAGGTCACAGTGACACTGTATGGATATGATGGGGGACTGGGTGGGTAGGAGTGAAGGTGGAGAAGGATAGAAAGGGAAAAAATGGATACAGGTAAAATGAGTTAAACAAAGAATAATAGCTTTGTGGCATCATGATGAATCATAAAAGGGTCTTTTCCTTCTCTGTTCTGAAGCAGGAAAAGAGATAAAGAAAGGAACCTCTTTCTTATCTGTAATTACTCTCTTTTGAACCCACTTACTCTTCAGTATTTCTCATTTTCTAAGCAATGCTGTCAATCACACTTAACAAAACAAAGTTCAAAATGCTGGACCAAATTAGGATTATAGTGTTACATCGTCAGCATCATCATTGTTACTGTCCCAGAATCCCCTTTCACAGGTACAAAATGAACAGTGGGTGGGTGGGAGGTCAGTTTTGACACAGACGTCTGCCCGAGAGGTCAGCATACAGATTGATTTTAAAAAGGTCCACTGTTGGTGTGTGCCTGCCACATGTATACATATATATATTTACACATATACACCCATTCACACACACACGCAGGCTTGTGAAGATTTCTGTTACTTGGATCCATTCTAACTTGTTCTTAGTGCACATGAGATTATATTTCCATCATCAGAAAATAAACAGAAAACTGATGGAAAAAAAGGTTTGGATTCATCTTTCACTTGATGATGCTTGACATTTTTTATTCTGCTCTGATTTGAGTCTGTTCATAAAAGCATCGATTAAGACAACTATGCTGTGTCATCCATTGCATGTATAAGAAAATCAGTCAGTCTTTCCATTGCCTCTAAAGTATGAATCCATGATGGAGTAACCTCTCAGAGCCAGTGTAACACCAAGACTGGTGGTTTATGCATACAGTAAAAGCATCCTGCCATGGCACAATGCTGTGATATGAGCTCTTCTTCCATCAGAGACCAGAAAAGTAACATATTTGAAAACCTAAAAACCTCAAAAACTCAAGCAACCTGGTTCATTCTACGACTGTCTTGATCCATAAAACAAGACAGTGCATGTGGAAAGCATTTTGTGCATAAGTGCTGTGTCCTTACCAGAAAAGGAAAATATGAACAGATAAATCATTTATGTTTTGGCAAGTGATTCCCAGGGTGATGAAAAAGGGGGATAGAGAAAGATGACATAATAATAGAAAGCAATCAGGCAGAAAGAAAGGCAAACCCCTGTGCTATGGAGACCCAACTCTGACCCCTTCATACAGTAGTGTCAATGGGAACCCAACCAGCCCCCTGCAGCTTGGCACAGCGCAGGCACTGACGGGTCAGCTGTGCATGTGTATGTTCCTCACCCCACTTTTCCATAGAGGCTCCAGGCAAGCGCTGGCTTGACCAGCATTCTATTAAGAGTTACAGTGACAGGCCGCAGTGATGGCAGGCTACACCAGTGTGTACGACTTGGAGTAGGCCCCTGCCCCTCCATCCCTCTGCTTCTGTAGTCTGCCTAAGCCCGAGGAGCTGCTCTCCAGGAGAGAGTCTCTGGATCCTCCCATCTTGGAGGAGGATGAGGAGGCACCTCCAGGAGTCCCTCCTGTGGCCCCAGCTACCCCACCTCCACCGGAGGATGATGATGCCCCAGCAGCTGCAGCAGTAGCAGCAGCAGCTGCCGCTGCACTCTGGGCCACTGAGGCAGAGGAGCCGGGCATGGTGAGAGTCCTCTGGGGGAGTGTGGAGCTGCTAGAGCTAGCAGAGACCCCTCCACTCCCACTACCTCCACCACCGCATCCTGCTCCTCCAGAGGAAGCCCCAGAGGAAGTGAGGTTGGACAGGCCAGAGTGGCCCATGCTTAGGGCCTGCTGCTTTGCAGAGTCCATAGTCACATGACGGCCCTGGGTGTGGTATGCACGCTGGGCCAGGCCACGAATAGAGGCTTCACGTGGTGGAACCACTGGACATGGGTCATGATGCTCCGACTGCTTTCGGAAGAAGGGATCTGACTTCATGTAGAGGGGTAGGTTACAGTAGTCACCTGGAAGGGAATCAAACATTTAAAGTGCCTGCCAAAGCCTGCAAAAGCCAAAGCCTATGGATAATATTCATAGTGTGCAACAGTATGAATGTTAGCACTGTGTATTTATCTGCACTGAACCTCTTGTAAAATTACCGGTATTTTCGCACACTTGTACATATAAACATTACTTCCCCTGTAAACTTAGTTATATATATTGTTTTTGTGTTACATATCTAGATAAAAAGCAATTTTAAAATTTAAATGCCAAGTGAACATGCTTTCATGCTTTGCAGCAACCACTCACTCTTGGCGCGGTGTGGAATGGGCACAGCTACATTCTTGCCACGATCATAGTCCTGGGGTTTGGGTGGCGAGGCAGTGAAACGGCAGATACCAGGCTCTGACGGTGTGCTCATGGACGTCATGCTGTCTGCATTGTCATTGGTACCTGTGGTCATCTGGTCAGAAGAACTGTCAGAGATAAAGCACTCAGTAATTTCAAATTTGGCATGCTGCAGGTGTTCCTCTAGCTTGGCATGCTCATATGCTCTCGCCAACTCCTCGTAGGTGGAGGAGGCGCTCTCTGTCGACACCATGCTGTTGCGACCCTTATCTATGGAAGAGAAAGGAAATAAAAGTAAGTACATTTTCCCCAGTTTTACTAATGCTTTTTGAGGCCAACTGCAAAAACACATTCTCCTCTGCATTTAGAAAAATAGCCTTACTTATATGTGCATGTTAATGGCTTTAAGTGTCATTTCACCAATGTGCCAACCTGTGTCCTGTGAGAGGCTGGCACTGTAGCTGTCACTCTCTGTGACAGTGATGCCATGCTGGGAGCCAACTGTGCGCCAGTCTGAGGTGAGAGTGCGGGCTGGCGTGGAGGCCTGGCACTTGGTCAGAGTCCACTGACTGGAGTAGCGGTTCCTGATGCTATGGGCCGATTTAACACTCTTCCTCGACACTGGGTCTGGTGGTAAGTGGATAAAGAAGTACAAAAGATGTGCATATGTACAAAGGCTTTTTTAAGACACTCACACTCAAAATAAAAGCAAGAAACTGTGGGAAATGTACACAGTTTATGCTTACACCATGTATGTACTGTACCTTATAATCAGAAAGGAATTTGCGCTACATGCTGCTTCAGTACTGCTTCAGTGAGTATAAGCTATTACTGATAAAATGGACGGAGAGAGAGGACTTACTGGTTCCTGGTCTGATGTCTGACATGTCAATCAAAGGGCCGGTGTTCTGGATGAGGGCTGGGTGATGGACAGACACACCTGTGCAGAAGCTCTGAGGGTTCCCAGTTTGGTTGAACTCTGTGTCTGTCACAGGGATAGTGGCTTTGTCCTCACCTGTAAGAGACAGAATGAATATTTCCAAAAAGCAGCATTTCATGATACATTTGACATAAAGATCATTTGATTCAGCGCTCATGCACAGACATGTGAACACACACTCTCTGTCTGTCTCTCTCTATTCCTCTCACCAATTTGCTTGATGCCTTCTTTGTCCTCAATTAGCAGCTGCACTCTCGGGATGTCAATATGTAACCGTGGGCCCTGAGGAGGCCCCTTCACTGGGGTGTCAAAGCTGCGGTTGTTTTTACTAATCCAGAGATACAAGACAAGCACACACAAATGTTCACAGTTTAAAAAAAAAGAAGTGAAATGTGGATTTGTGCAATGAAATTTTAATTGCACTAAATAATATTTCAGACTGAGTTTGTGAGAAGGAGAAGGAAAGAGCTGTCTTACCTTATCAGCATCTCTGCCAGGCTTTTGGCATCTAGAGAGAGCAGAGAACATAACAATATTTTTTTCTTGACACACAAATCAATCTTTTAAAATCAGTACAAACTCTAGAGACTTTAAGATTCTCTCTGATATCTGCTTTGTTCTCCTTGCTAATTAATTCATTCCTGTCTGCTCTCCTTTTTCTTCTTCTCTTACCTCTTAGTCTCTTCAGCCTCTTTTCCTTGCGTTTCTTGCGAATGATGAAGAGCAGTGCAACACCCAGAGTGACCAAGATCACAGGACAGCCAATAGAAAACAGCTTCTTGACATCATCGTTCTTTTCCAGGGGGGATTTGATTGGTGGAATTGTGCCTGCACACACACAGGAAGAGCAGAGACTAGTTACTGCCTTTTTTAATATTAAATAATATTCTAAGGTACCCAGTGTAATGAATTTCTCATTAAAAGTAGCAGACAATTCATCCAAACTGAATGTCAAACAAAGAGTCTTCTACTCACTGCCATCATAGTCCAGAGTTGCAAATTGTGAGCTTTGGTTGCCACAGCCAGCGCTGTTACAGGCTTTCATCTTCAGCTCATACCAGGTGGCCTCACGCAGCTCTGCCAGGAACACATCTGTGGTGGCATTGGTCCGTACATTCTGCCACGCCCATGTACCTGCAACAAGTACACGTACCAATGTTGAGTCTAAGCTCTTTTCTTTCCATATTAGTTTCCATAAAAAGATGGAATGTTACTTCAGTACTTACAATAAACTATTTGTTTAACATATTTGATTAAAATAAGTAATTTGTTGTAAGTTATCTACAAATAGTGATTCACCTTTTGGTCTAAACTCTAGCGTGACGGCACTGATTGGACAGCCTCCACTGGCCCAACCTTGCAGGTTGAGGCGGGCGTGGCTGGAGTTAATGTGGGTGAAGACGGGCTGATCCTTGTTGAACTGAGGTTCTGTGAAAGAAGCAAAATCATCATGTATTTGTCTGTTCAGATTACTAGAAAATTATATGCGCTGTACAATATAATGTGTCTTGGTAACTGAACCATGTGCACATGCTGCTAGAAACAAATTCAGAGTAGGTGTCCCAAAAATATCTCACTACATGTATTAAATATAATTTCAATATAATTATCAATATAGAAATAATTTACATTTTTGATAACTGTCATCTGTGACATAAGACATGATGTTTTTATCATTATAATGATAAAAACTACATTATAATATAATCATTCAAACGTTAAGAATGTGGAGAATGTAAATGTGTTCAATGACTGCTATACATTTTTTTGAAAATGGAGCATATAAAGTCCCAGAGTGATACACTGTACACTATTGTAAGTATAAAGCATGACACACAAAGAGGTGAAGTGTTATAAGGCTATAAGGCTTTATTTGCAAGTTATTATAGGTCCTTAATATAATTGGATGAATTTGACTTCATTGTTGACTACAGCAGTCGTCTTAGATATGGCCAATTTGTGATGTCCACTTCTCCTTTGTGAAAATGTGTATGTTATATTTACTTTCACCTTCATCAACCCACACTAACTTCCTTTATCCTCTATTCCAGGCTTCTCACCTCGTCCATGGGTCTTTGCCTCGATGATCTCACTGATGCGTCCGGCTCCAACGCTGTTCTTTGCAGCCAGCTTAACTTTATACCAGGTGCCACAGCGCAGGTTGTCCAATTTGAAAGAGCGCTCACTAGAACTGATGAAAACATCTTTCCATTCCTCTGTGTTGTCTACAGAGTACTGCAGCACAAAACCTGCATTCACACAAAAGCAGATATACACACAATAAATAAATAATTATTTTTTTTGCTTTATGACATACTTCTCTCTTTTTTACAGCTGAGATGAATAACTCAATTTGTACTTATCCTACTAAACTTTAGACATGGGTACCTCTGCTATCCACTAGATGGCAGTGTCAGACTGTACTTCTCTTGCTCATAGGCCACCAATTGGACGTAGCTGCTCCCTGTCTATGCCGCCATTAGTTACCTACAAACCCCAAGACTGGGATGGCGCTGACTAAGCATCTATGTAAATGAGGGTATGCAATGTGGTGACTGTTTTTATAATCAGCCGCCTTGGAGAGCCAACTCCCTCCTGCTCTGAGACACTTTACATCTAATCCTCCATCTCTGTCTGTCTTTCCTTCTGTCTGTATATAATTATGTATATATAAATGTCTCCCTCTCTGTGTTTCTTTGTACTCTTTGTACCATCTTTTTTTCTACCTTTTTTCTCTAACAGATGGTGTGATAGAGTCCAAAACATTAGAGGGGTTAAAATGTGCAGATCCTCCTGTGTTTGTTTTTAAGTTTTATAGTCACTTTATAGAACACAGCAGAACATAACAGAAGATAGCAGAGAGAACAGTACAGAACAGCACAATAACAGGCTATTGGGGAACAGATTAGAACATAACATCAATTCTGACTGCAGGATTACCAGCCTACGGGATTTGTTCATTTGATTATCTGTTTATTTTTTATTTTATTTTTAGAAAACGAGCTGAGACTTTTCTAAGAAAACACGCTAACATATTTTATCTGAAAAGGCATAGCCTGCAGATGCTGCTGCAGTAATAATGCAAAAAAGGTGGTTGACGGGGAACTTCAGATTTGCCTACCCCTAACACTGTGTGGATGGCAAAGACAGGCATTGTGCTATACATACAATATATACAGATAGGCTTCACAGATGTATGAGATGCTGGATGATGTATGCAAATATTGACTGGTGGCCCATCATTATTTAAACACAAATCTGCACACTGAGTACATATCCTTGCCCTAAAGTTTATATTACTTCCTATTTCCGTACTCATAATGCATGCAAATTAGTGTCTTTCTCTGGGTCTTCCTGTCAGTATTCTGACCCACTGGAATAACACAAAAGTATTATATTATTAGAGCTTTGGTGGTTTTAAAATATACTTAGTCTAATAGTTCAAAGACTTGTTTTTGTTTTTGTCACAGTTTTTACAGCCATTTCTTTAGCAATGACATGTGGGACAATAGGGCTTTGTGGATGCAGTCATGTAAGCCACTAAACCAAAATCATCACATGTCTGGTGCTTGATAGTCTCATATAGGTATAAGGGGAGTCAGGCAGATGACCCTGCAACACCCTCATACTGAGAAACAGCATGAACAAAGGGATTGAATCCACATTTGCATGCATGCCCATTCAGGCACACACACCATGCCCACCTTCACATAGAACTCACCAACGATCAGATAATCAGACAGACACATAGTTAACAGGGAAACCTAAAACCAGAGGCAAATCAATAAACTAATAGATCCACTAACAATGTCCAAGGTAAAAGAGGAAAAAAGAGAAACAGGATAAACTAAGATCAGAGGTCAAAGGGAAATGTTTATTTATGTACATTTCATACATAATCCTAACTCGATAACCTCAAGCGAAATAGTGTCACCTTTACACACATACAGCTACAGAGAAGCAAAAAGTACAGGAAGACAGACAGAGAGACAGCATTGTTGTGCAGGGCCACGTACCTCTGATAGAGCTGCCTCCGTTGTCTCCTGGTATCCAAGCCAGAGTGATGGAGGAGGTGGAGGTGGTGGAGACGGTTAGACGAGGCTGATCTGGTGGAACTGAGGAAGATGCGCAAAGAGTTATTCGCTTGATAATGCCTGTACTCAAATATTATAGATTATTTTTGAGGAGGTAAAGAAAATCGCTGTTAATGTAAAAAGTATACTGTATTCCTCATTTTCAGACCTATATAAGCGAGGTACACTCATAGTTGAGTGAACTCAACTCAGCCATTATTGCCATTTGCCTACCTTGTACCAAAAGGTTGACTATGATAGTGTCAAAGCCCAGTGTGTTGGTGGCCGTGCAGGTGTAGTAACCAGAATCTTCAGCTTTGACAGAGCGCAACACCAGTGTCCCATTGGCCAGAATGAGACGCTGTCCATCTAGAGACACTGGGATGGCTGTATCCTCACTAATGAGTGAAAAAAGTATCATCATCATAAGATTCTTACTAGATTTAGCTAACAAGGCTATTTATTTTGTTTCTAGAGTTACTTTAAAGGAGGCTGCAAAATTGTAAATTTCTAATGTACTACTTATATGGCATTATTCCAGAATATCAACAATATACACACAATAAGCAGAGGGGGTAAGTAACGAATTACGATTTGTATTTAAGTAGTTTTTTCAGGTATCTGTACTTTCTTTTTGTCATCTTTTTACTTTTACACCCCAATTTTTTTTTATTTTTTTTTTTACAAATATCTGTACTTCCTACTTCTTACATTTTCTTCCACAACATAAGAGATGTACACATGAGAGATGTAACATGACGAAACGACGCATCAAGACAAAACAGAGAGGGAGACTCAACCCTATTTGAAGTTTCTGATAACTTTGCACATAAACAGCAAGATAGGTAGAAACCAAGACAGTACTTTTTACTTTTATACGTTGAGTACATTTCAGAGCCTGTACATTTTCATTTGACTTGAGTAAAGAAGTTAAATCAGTATTTCTACTTTTGTCAGGGTCTTTTTGTTACACAAGTATCAGTACTTCTACTTGAGTATGAATGTGTGTACTTTTGCAACCTCCTAAGTAACTTTCTCTTGAACCAAATTAGATTCTTTAATAGTAATTCACTCTGCTCCCATTCAGCTTTATGTAACATGTCTGGGCAGGATTCTCACCTGTCTTTGGTCCATTTTATAGTAGGTGTAGGTTCTCCTACTGAACTACAGGGAAGTCGCACCTCCTTCATCCAAGGAGTGGTCACTGTGCCCCCAAATGACAGGATCTTAGCTGGAGCTGGTGGAGGATGAAGAGTAAAAATGAAAGGTGTATTATGAGAGCTATTGGCATTAACACATACACAAGAAAGGCAAAGACCTAATTAATATCTACCAATCGGTTAATCTTGCCATTGTCAAATAAACAATTTTCAAACCCAATAAACAAATGCTGTAGAGGTTTCAGAATGTGTTGATCAATACAGAAATGTGATGGTTGATATGCAATGTGTACATTGATTTGTTCTCCATTTGGGATTCTTCCAATAAACAGGATTTACAAGTGGAGAGAGTGCAATGTATTTACAGTGATTCACACTTGGTGGGAAAGAAATCTGTGTTAAATGTGACATTGTCCAGCAAAGAACTGCATATGAATAATAATAATATAAGACAGGACAAAGAATGAGCAGAGAGGATATGAAAAAATATTCATCTATTCAAGCACATAAACCTCTTATTCTCCGTCACTCCCCCACCCGCTCTCTCTGTCTCTCTTTCTTCCTCAAGCTTGGCGTCTTAATGCTAGTGCTCTAGTGCACTTATGTTAAGGTTGAATGAAGTATTGAGTGGGCAAGCCTGGAGGACACTGCCTTTTACAGCTGCTGATCAGCTGACGCACCCACCCATACGAACACACACACATGCACTCGCAAACCTTTGCAGACAGCAGTCAAAGGAATGAATAGATATAGAAAGGGATAACATGGTGGAAAGTGCACTCTATTCATTCTCACTCTCATATTCTTCCTGTCTTTTAATCCAAAGCCTATTGATTTAACTGCCCTCTTCATTTTCTTAAACACTCTGCCTCTCTATTGTCTTCAGTATTAGTTTGCTCTGCCCCTGTCGTATAATTTTCACTCTTCTTTTTTTCCTGTCCAACTGCTGTCCTCCCTCATGCTCCCCCTCTTATCATTTCCCTGATTTAGGCCAGTTTATCTGGTGCCCTCTGAACTCTGAAATCAATAGCATGCGCTGCTCTGTTGCATAGTCAAAACACGCAGCCACACATAAACAGGAGAGGTTGACAAAATATGCAGAGAAGGGTTATATAGAGTAAGTGACAGAGTAAAGGGGCGATTATTCACATGATTCACAGTCATGAGGGATGTTGAGAAAAACATCCTTGAAAAGTATTTTTAGCTCATGGCATTGTCAATAAGAGGCTTGAAGAATACTGCTCTAACAGTAGCAGTGTTGTAAGAGCTCCAAAGAGAGAGATATCAGAAGCACAGAGAGACCGAACAAGCAAAGAGCCGGTAAAGTCAGGAAAAAAGGATGCTGTAGCGTCATTCATCAAGGTCAAATGCCTTTCAGCTGTCTGGGTGAAAATCTGGATAAATTTGGTTGGAAGTTCTTTTTTTAAATGAATACATAAATGTGTTTCAACTGCAAGGACAACATTTCATTATGAAGCAATGCGGAATTACATGCTGACATACAGTCAATTAAAAAGGACTCCCTCGATTTAGCATTGCACTCCTATAATATAGTAGATTCATGATAGACAGTTAAAAAATGCAATTTGACTGCTGACAATACGGGGAGAGATTCAGTTGTGTTGTGCAAGTAACGGCTAAAAGCCTTGAGCCTTAAACACAGATGAGGAGCAGGCTACAAAAATCAGGTAACCTCACTTCTTTCTAACTTCACATACCCAGATTTTTTGCATTTTCAGACCTGTAGTATTCAGCACCAACCAACAGTGACTCTAGATAGATATGTGACATCACTTTACCAGATTTCAGATAGCTCCTTCTGGAGACACAAAAGGCTTTATATAACTTGTCACGTATGCAGTAGTACTCCCAAAGACCTGTCAACACCTCTACTGTATGTCTCTCATCATGATTCTCCCTCTCATATGCAGGGACTCACCCTTGGCCGCTGGCTCCACAGTGACTTTGTCGCTGAAGTTACCCCGGCCTGCAGTTGTGACGGCCGCAGCCCAGATCAGATACTGCTGCCGGTGGTTGAGGTGAGTGATTCGGTAGAAAAGCAGCTCTGGATTGGCTTCATACTCGCTTGGCAGCTGGGGAGAGCCGAAAGGGGAAAGGAAAGTGTTAATCTCAGGAGGAACTGCAGGCTCGATATGATTTATAAGCACACTCCAAACATCTTAACATGTCATGCAATATTATATAAAGCCTTACATAGAGGAAAATTCAGTTAATCAACAAATCTGCGAGAGGCTAAATACACTTGTTCACTTTTTGATATATTTTATATCTTCAATTAAAAATATTTTAAACAAATTGATTTGCTGTGGAAACTGGTGGAATTTTGTAAAACAATAAGGAAAATGTTTTAAAGGCTCACAAAACACAATTAAAAAAAACTTTCTCACATGTATCATTAAAATATCACAACATTTACATTGTATTATATGTACTGAAGAGCACAAAGTAAAATCAGGGTGATGCCAAAGACAAGATCATTTTGTCACTTTACTGGAGAGGCAGACATAATGTGAAGGACTGAGTGAACATCACTCTAATGTGAACCAAGCCCTGTATTCTCTCCTCGAGTCAGCACTATAGGAGGAGAGAGAATGATGGGGATTAAGGTACAGAGGTTCTGGGGCATATTATATTATGATATGCCAAAAATGCTCTGTGAAAGGATGGAGCTGGAGGAAAGAAAGGGAGACAAGAGGGTTGGATCAGGGGGGAGTGAAGCCCATTCCCTCTCCTCCCCTGTTCTCCTCAGGGAGGGCAAACAGAGATATGAGACAGAGGAAGACAATGGGGGACAGACAAATGAGTCAGTCAGAGATATCATGAACAGTCATACACTAATGAGGCCTATCTACTGCAGGCATCAGCAATGACAGAGAGGAGGGGAGAGGAGAGAAGAGGAGAGGAGAGAATAGGAGTCCAATAAACAGGCAGAGGAAGAGGCAAGCACAAATACACATACACGAATATACTGACACACACAGACACACACACATACAGTGGCATACATGACCTGGAGGTGGATGTGTAATTGCAGTGTGTTTAACCCAGCCATGTGCCTGCTGTCTAGACATATACGCATCACTGTCCCTTAAACACAAACACACACACACACACTAACACACAGAACCTCTCTTTTTTACTGCCTGCCAGTCACTATTCACCTACCCACCAATTATACCCTTATTCCCTCAACTCCTACTCTTCATCTACTCCTCAGGTATCCCAACACTCAGGTACACACACACATACACAAACACACCCTCAACAGTCAGTATGTGTGTAACTCTGCTGCTGGTCTCAACTATGTATAATAGTAAAAAAGAAAACAAAATTTAACACACACAAACGCTGCTGGATGGCACATTCACTGTCGCACTCCAAATCACATGTTTTACTGCAGTTTGACAACGACTTGAATTTCTGACTGACAGGCGCTCGTGCACAGATGAAATAAGGGTGGCAATACGAGTGTCAAATGATTTGAAGAGTCAGTAAATGCAGCAGACCTGTAAAAACCTGCGAAGACACTGCAGTGTTGCTGAGCTCTGTCCTAGCCTGCTGGGTTGTTGTCTGCAGAACGGTTTATTCTGGGCAAATAGATTCCAGTATTCATGTTGTTTTTCACATTTATGAGCAGGCCGTCATGGAGGAATCCACTGGGTTTTTTATTATTTCCATGTGTTCCCTGTTCATCATCCATTCCTCCTGTCTCCATCATTTCTGTATTTTCCTCTCTGTCTATCCTTTACCCCACTGTGCCATCCTTCCCTTCTCCTCCTGCCATCACTCTTCATCCTCCTCTTCATTTCCCTGTCCCTCTCCACATTTCCCGGCCCACTCCTTGCTTTTCCTTCCATCTATCCACGAGTACCCCCCTCTGTTTTACATCCTCTCTGTAT